ATTCACACCTGCCCCTGAGTTGGGTAGAGTTAGGTGACTCCTTCCTTTGTTCACAGAGAGGTATGTGCACATATTAAAAATAGTGTTGTCATATTTAATAATTGTGGTATTTGTCTGACTCTCCTACTGACTCTGAGTCCCTGGACAGTAGATATGGTTTCTCATCCATCTTTGTAGTCCCAGATTTAGCAGTGACTGTTCCATTGGAGTGCTCTATGATTTTTTTGTCTTTTACTGAATATACATTTGGATCAGCCATGTATAACTAGATATGTTCCTAGATATCTGGTTGGAAGAAACGATGGCTTGGTCCCTATGGCAAACTTCCTTTCCAGAGGCATTGGGGCTGCTCCTTGACCCAGGTTATGGGCAGTTTCTGCGATCTACTTCAGCACTTCCCTTTCTCCCAAACTGATATTCACCCCTTTATATTCAAGAGTTTACTCTCCACTCCGTGAATCTAGAAGAATAAACCTGTGAGCAAAGTGTTTAAGTACTCATTTAGGAATATGGATTTAGCTGGATTTATATTTCATAAAGATTCATAGACTGTGCCCCCAAAGATGAATTGCTTAGTCTTAATATAAGTATAGATGAGCTGTCGACTGGACAAACCAATAATCTCCCCAGCCCATGCCCATTTGCCTCAGTGGAGAGCGCATTAGCCTGCAAACTGAAGGGTCCCGGGTTCAATTCCGGTCAAGGGCAAGTACCTCGACGGGCCCTGGTGTGGGAAGCCACCAAATCAATGTGTCCTTCACATTGATGTTTCTCTCTCTGTGTATCTCCCCATCTCTTCTACTCTCTCTAAAAATCAATGGAAAAATATCCTCAGGTGAGGATTAAAAAAAAAAAAATGTCTACCCAGCCCAATACTTTAACATAATACTAATTTACTTTATGAAAAACATTTAAGAAAAAAAAAGTTGACATGCATTATCATTTTAATCAGTTTTGACAATGAATCTGAGGCTTAGGGATTATTTTAGTCATTTCGGGTTGCTGTGACAAAAGGCCATGACTGGGTGGCTAAAGTAACAGACCTTTATTTCTCACGGTTCTGGAGGTTGGAAGTCTGCTGGCAGAGTTGGGTTCTGGTGAGGACCCTCTTGCTGGCTTGCAGAAGGCTGCCTTCTAGCTATGCATTCACATGGCCTTTCTCCAGCACCTGCATGTGGAAGGCGAGAGCTCTGGTGTATCTTCCTAGGGCATCAACCCGATCACAGGGCCCTCCCCTTCATGCTCTCATCTAAACCTATAACCTCTCAAAGGCCCCACCTCCAAATAGCATCATTTCAGAGGGTAGGGCTTCAACACATGAATTTGGGGATGGGGTGGAGGACAAAACCCTTCAGTCTCTAAGGCAATTAAATCACTTCCCTACTGGTACTCAGAGAATCCACTAGTAGGCAAATGCTGACTCCAAATATTGTTGTCTTTCCCCTAATAATTTGTCTTTATTGCTTTTTTATACATAGGTACTCAAGTAATTAGCATTTTTAGAGGCAGGATGGTACTAGTTTTCACTGATTACCTGTGATGTATTCCCTAAAACATTAATCTCCCTTCCGTGCTTATTTTTCATATATGTTTATCCATATTTTTCAGCTGAGAGCAAACAATATAGGGCCTCTCTGCCACTCACTCTTTAAAATTTTCTCAGGGGAAAAAACATAGAACTGAGCTCTAGGTGCTTCTGGCAATTTTATTCCAACACAAGTAGCGCCCAGATTGTCCTTCTGAAAAGTATTTCCGTTCTTTCTTGAAAAATTAAATTCACAAAACAATTGATTATCAGTTATAAATGGCGAAAACACCATCTGGTTTTCAAAATTGGTTCGATCCATGCGGCAAGGGGGAAAATGTTGGAACTTGGAGTTGGCCAGGAGTGCTAGTCCACAAAGCAGAAAATGACGAGCTTTACTCCGAGAAAGCTGGAGTAGTCATAACTTGCATTTAGCGGCTGCGTGCTTCACATGTTCCATATGTTAACTCCCTTGGCGGTATCTCTAGTGTGAAAGAGCTGGGGTGGGAGAGGCGTGTGTCTAGTGGGTAGGGCAGCAACCGCTTAATCCTAAAGGTTCAGCACCGGTTCTTTTGGTGGAGATGCAGTGACAAAGATGTTCAGGGCCTGGGACTTTGGATGTGTAAGGTCCTTACACTTATGGCACAGGTGGCATTCTTTGGGTGGAAATATCTAAAGCTATTTGCATTCCTCTGGCGAGGTAAGTCATACGGCATTAGCATTTCCTACAGAAATGTCCCGTGCTGTTCCTTGCCAACTGGAAATCTGAGTAGTGTTCATGGGACGTGCCAAGAGAATGAAGGGATGTGAAACCACTCCACCTCTTCCAACGTCCCATACTGTGTTCTCCGTGTGGGAGGGCCGGGCCTGATGAGATTCTCGTGGAGACGCAGCTTCATGTGGAATGTTTTTCCTTGGGAGTAAAATGAAATCCTGTTATTTAAAAAAAAAATATATATTTCTGAACTGCTGGCATATTTTCACCTTATGTTAAAAATGTAGATATGGCTTTGATTCATGCATTATAATGTGAAATGTATTCACCCACTGAACAAATATTTATGGAGGCCCAGTATTGCAGAGTGGTAAATTGCATAAGCTCTGTCTGCACTTGAGAAACTTTGACCTTGGGCCAATGACTTAGTTTTCCTAACCATGTTTAAAAAATATAAAATGAGAGAGAATAATAGTATGTACCATGGGGACTGTTCCAAAAATTAAGTGAGATTATGCAGGAAAAACACTTAAGAACTCAATAAGCCCTAGCTGGTTTGGCTCAGTGGCTAGAGCATCAGCTTGCAGACTGAAGGGTCCCAGGTTCGATTCTGCTCAAGGGCACATGCCTGAGTTGCAGGCTAGATCCACAGGAGGGGGCCTGCAGGAGGTGATTCTTTCTATCATTGATGTTTCCATCTCTCTCTCCCTCTTCCTTTCTCTCTGAAACAATAAAAAAATATATATTTTTAAAAAGAACTCAATAAATGCTAAAGTGGTAATAATAATAACAAATAATATTATTATGTGCTAGGCTCTGTGCAAGGGTGCCCTAGTTCCTGACATATAGGACTTTACTTTATGGTTCATACCTCACACTGTTTCTATGGCCTCCAATTGCTTATCCTGCTTTTGTTGGGACTCTGCTTTGCATTTTAGTCTGATGCAGGTAGATTTACTTTCAGAGACATCAGACTAGGCTGGACGTCACAAACTGGACATGTGGCGACGGTTTCCATGTGGTGATGGTTTCCTGCGTCACGTGGTTCTATTTTCCTGCGGGAGCTTTCCCACTTCTGGAGGGCTGCCTGCAGTGCATGCATGTGGCCTGTAATTAAGAGCAGAAATTCCAGGGTTGTGAAGACAGGGCAGTCTAGAAATTAGTTGATGCATAATGGGTAATAGGAGGCTGTTTTAAGTGTAACTCATTTGTTGGATGTGCAGATCTCCACTTCCTTTTTTGATATGTCGTTTTATTATTTATTTATTTTTAACATGATGAGGACCAAGGGCCTGGCCAAGTCATTTCGTGCAGCTCCACCAGACTAGAGCTCAGACTTAGCAATTCACATTCAGTAATCTCTTGGCCATTTAGCCACAGATAATTTGTCATGGTTTGTTTTAGCTGTTGTGATATTGATATTTATTATGCAAATTGCATTTCCTACATCTTATTGTTCTGCATCCTATGAATACTTAAATTATTATAAACCTTTACACTTAATACGGCTCGTCCTTCAATTTGATGCTTGAGCAGCAGAGGGTCAGAGCGCACATGATTTCTAGAGGAGAAGAAAATAAGTAATTAAGAAGCAAACAAACAGGAGAGTGGGCTTCCTGGTTCAAGAGAAAGCAAAGGCAATTTCCAGGAGGCAGGGTGAATGCAGTGGGGAGCAGCCAGTCTTTCCAGCCAGGAGAGCCTCTCCCAGGGACCCTGGGAGCTCAGAGCACTTGTTGGCCGCCTGCCTGATGAGGGCTGGGGGTGCAGAGCAGGGAGGAGTGAGTTTGAACTCTGAAGGAGGAAGATGGCAAACCCTGTCTTCACATGGGCGCCTACCGCTCCTAGCCTCTGGGACTGCACCCGGAAGCCTTGAGAGAATAATTTGTTGTTGTTGTTGAATGTGTGCATATTCATATGTATTACACACACACACACACACACACACACACACACACACACACACACACACACAACTAAAGCCAGGGCGGCAACCTTCAGCAAGCCCAGGAGCCTGCGTCGATCCTCCTCCAGCTACCTTTCCCGAGAATCTCTCACAAAGACGCGAGCTCGGAAATCCCAGAGCCCGACTTCGGCTCCTTTCTCCCAACTATGCCCCAGCCTGCCGCTAGGTTGCTGAGCAGGCTCTCCCGCTCGCCGCCGGACGTGCAGAGCACGCATGCACTGCTCCCCGATTGTTTTGTCAATCCGGGGACTGCACTCTCCCTCTCCACTCCCGAACCTCCTCCCCGTTTCCCGGAGACCTATTCCTCCAGTGCAAGGTGAGTGACGGAGATGTGCAACGTCTGGCTTTCAGGCCGCTGTGCTCGGGGTGCCGCGCAGGGGAACCTCCTAGGGAGAAGCTCCAGTCATTGGTTCGATATCGCGCTCGCTATAAGCCTCCTTAATAAAGGTGTACGGGGAGCCAGAACCGCTCCCGGAGCCGGCACCCCACGCACCCGGCGCAGGGAGAACACTTTTTCCTAGAGGCCCGGGAAGCGGAAAAAAGAGATTTAACATAAACATATTTGCATACGCCCCTCCCCTTTGTCCCGCCCCTAGGTGGCGCGGGCGCGTCGCCGAACTCCAGCGCCAGGGGGCGGGGTGGGGGATGGGGAAGTCCTCCGAGAGCCGGGTTGGGCTCTCCGCGCGGTGATTGGCCGGCCCTGGCCCCGCCCTCAGCGCATGTCATTAGCATCTCATTAGTTGTCCGCGCTGGCTCCGGAGGAAGCCGCCGCCGCCAGTCTGAGGCAGGTGCCCGACATGGCGAGTGCTGTGCTGCCGAGCGGATCCCAGTGCGCGGCGGCGGCGGCGGCGGTGGCGGCGGCGCCTCCCGGGCTCCGGCTCCGGCTCCTGCTGTTGCTCCTCTCCGCCGCGGCGTGGATCCCCACAGGTAGGTGCGGGGCCAGGCCACTAGGCCCCCTACATCTTCTAAGGCACCCCAGCAGCCGTCGCCGAGGGGTGGTGGTGGTGGTGGAAACGTTTCCATGACAACCGTCCCCCACTTCCTAAGCCCGGAGCGCTGCGAGCGTGGAGGGGAAACTCAGGGCTAAGATGGAAGGGGCTGAGGGGATCGGTCATTCCTTCTCCCTTGTCCAGCTGGGTGTGAATTAGAGTCCTGAGGGATGTCTGCACCCACATCGCCTCTCCGCGGCTTGGCGCGGCGCGGAGTGAGAACGGGGAGCCCGGGTGGGAGGGGAGCTGGAGGATTTGGAAGAAGATGATGGATCCTAGGCACCCAACTGACCGTCCAAACTCGCTGTTGCCCCCGTAACTTGCAGCCCTCGCCTCTCAGGCCACCCATTCACCACCACCTCTCCCGCGGACCCCCGATCCTCCATCCCCAGATCCTCCAGGGAGACCCCGCGCCGCTCCACAGGACACCCCCCAGACTTGCCTGATGGCTCTGCTTTCCCCGCGCTCCGCTTCGTCCCCGAGCCGCGCGCCCCCGGCGCTCCCTCCAGCCTCACCGTGGCCCCTCCGCCCCCTCCGCCGCCGGCTGCGGGTCTCCTCGGCCCGGCTCCCGGAGGGAAAGTTCCCGGTCGGGCCCCGCGGGGGGCGTTCGCTGCCGCCGCCGCCTCTGCGGGTTGGCGCCGGGAGCCCGCGGTCGGCCTGCCCCACGGAGCGGGGACCCCAGATTTCAGCTGCTCGTCCGTCCTCCGAGCTCCCGGGGCGGCGGAGGGCGCGTTCACGGCCTTTGCGCCACCCGGGCACCCTCCGGGCCTCGGGGCGCCCCCTGCGTGCGGAGCTGTCGGGGGGTTTGCCCGGCCCCGCACGCCCCGCGCTGCCCCCGGAGACACCGGGCCGGAGGGGCCGGAGGGGCCGGCGCTGCGCGGTGCGCGGACGGAAAGAAGAGGGCAGTGTGCGCTTCGGCTAACAAAAGGGAGCTCTTCCCCGGCCAGGAGGCCGGCGGGGCTGCCCCCGGCCTCCCGTGCCCGTTCCCGCCCCCACGAAGCCCCGCGGCCGCCCGCTCCCCCGCGTCCCCGGCCTCCTGCGGCGGGCCGGGCGGCAGCCGGGACCCGGCGCGAGGCCGCGGGGGGCTGCGGGGACGGGGGGAGGTGCCGGCGGCAATGCTGCAGGGCTCGGCGCCGCATGCAAAGCCCCTCCTTGCAGCCTCGGAGCTGCCGGACCCACAAGCAACAAGTGGCGGCGGACGGCGGGAGCTCAGCCCCCACCTGCAGAGCCCGGGCCCCGGCCGCGCAGCGTGGAGCCGCCGTGCGGCTCGGGAGCCACTCCCGGGCCGCCGCGCTCCGCCCGGGCTGTGCCTTTTGTTTACCCGCCAGAGGACACACCGTTACGTAAACACCGCAGGAGACACGCTGAATGAAGCGGGGTGTCCGGGGTGCTGGCTTTGGGTTTGGGGGATGCCGGGTTGGCTGTCTCCTCCCCCAGCAAAGGCTTCTTGCGAGGGAGCTCTGTTCGGGGAACGCGGTGGGGACGCGGAGGGGTGGGAATCTGGCGAGCAGCTCCAGCGCCCAGGATTTTTTTTTTTCTTCCTTCCATGCCACGGTCTGTCTCTCCGGATGTTGTTTATGTGTGTTTTTTTTTTTTACCCCCCCCCCCCCCGTGAATTCTTAATGTATGAGTTACGAGATAATTGGGCGCAGCCTGTGCCGGGGTGGTGACAACTTCATCTCCGGTGATGCCTCTGGCTGGATGGGCTCAATGAAAGGCTCCTGGAAGGGGTTCTTCGCGCCGCTGCTGCATGGTGAAGGGCGCCGGTGCCGGTTAAACGTGAGCGCGAGCAGAGCTGGGTCGCTGGCGCAGAATAGAGGCAACAATAGAGTGGTATTGGCTGCGAAAAGGGGGTGGGGGAGAGCGCCGGTCGGGGGATATTATTGCCTTTTGACAAAAAATGGGAGCCGAGCAATGCCGCTGGGCAGCAGGGCAGGATTGGAGGGCACCCCTCCATCTGGCCCGCTCCTGGAAGGCGAGCGTGGAGCGGTACCAGGCACTGTATGTGCCACTCTCTCTGGTGAGAGAGAAGTTGCCTTCCGAACGAGCGAGAGATGTGTGCTGACTTGGGAAGGAGCGGTCTGGAACTCGGCCGTGCATGTCAGAGCGGCAAGAAAATTCTGTTGCCAGTTTCCATGGAAGCAGCTTCTTGCTCCCATGTCCCTCCCTGTTTGTATTTTGGTTATCAGATGGTGTTCACGTTCGAAAGGGATTGGGCTTGATTTGTGGTGAGGAGGTGGGTGGTTTTCAAACCCTTATTAAAAAATGCCTTTGTGTGTGTGCGTGGGGTCAGTTTGAGGAGGGGTCTTGGTCTGGCCCCTGGTCCTAGCCTACCTGAGAAGATTTAATCCGCCACCCCACGGTCACTTGTCACTTTTCTCCCTTCGTCCTCTCATTTGAAGCGTTCTCAGAGGTCTCCAGCCCCGCTGCCAGGATCAGAGAAACCTGTTGGAGCTGTCTTCTAACTTCATTGGCCTTGTTGCCTTTACATCCTTGCTGGGATAGCGACCCAGGGCCACTGTGCTCCTGGTTATGTCTTCCCCTGTAACCCAATCCATCCTCCTTTGGAGAACATCCCCCAGCCCTCCCGTGGTGTTGGGGTGTTGATGAAATGCAGCCAAAACGGGGTCTTCTGAGCTCATTCCAGTGTACAAATCGTGCTGTTGGGTTTTAGGTGCATGCTATTGTTTCTGATCCTGAGCAGACGGGTCCTCTCACCCTTTCCAGCATCCCAGAGGCTGGCTGCTGGGTGAGGCTCTGTGGCGGCGCTGGCAAGCCCAGAGGCTGTGAGTTCTGCTGCCTGTGGCCTGTTGGGGCTTGAATACCAGGATGGGGACTGTGCAGAAGTGCCGCCCGCTATTGTTGCCTTTCCGTGCATCAAATTGAATAGCCACAGGAGGGACTCGCACTTGTCTGAGATAGCTTTGATAAAATATCCCTCATTAATGCCACTTTATATTTACAGTGTGTCACTGGAGACGCACAAGGCTTCATTTAGTGACTTGTGTGACGAGACAAGCTTGCATTATTTGCCTGGGACGTTTCGGAGGAACAAGAGGCCCATTGAGCCATCTTTAGAAATGAACAAATACGGAGAAAGGGGGGAATAAAAGAGGAGGCAGTTCTCCGGAACAAGAGCTTTATTCATATGGATGTTGTACATGCCTTATCCCGCTTTCTCCAGCGGGCCTCCTGGTGACGGGGAGTGGGACCTGGGAGGAGCCAACAGGCAGGGCACTTGCCCATCCTCTCTCACTTCCTGGCTTCCTATTCTTAACCTAGCGGGTCCTCAGCTCCCTGCCTGCTCAGCTCACTGCACCCCCTCCAACCCCTCAACAGGTGACAGCGTTCCTGGGTCTCACAGGGAGACGTTGAAATCCTTCCCAGCTCTGAATTCCAACAGGAGAAAATGCTCGCTACCCACCGAGGCTGAGGGTTGTTGGAGGACAGATAGATATATTGGTTGAAGGGAAAGAGATGTCACTTTTCCGCGACGTGTGTCAGGAAGGTGGTTGGTAGGAAATGGCCAATTGGAAAGCTGTCTTGCCATTATAATATCAGTCTATTTATTTTCAAGGAAATGCTGTGAAAACCAAAACCCAAATTGGATGGTGCTCCTGAAGTTTGCAGTGCCTTCTGCCCCCACTCGCTACATGTTGGCCGCCTACATATGGGAATTCGTATTCCTTGGCCTATGTTACTAATGATTCTCAGACTTTAAAAAATTGATAATATTGCTGCGAGTGTAAACTGTCTTATTCCCTGGGTTTCTGTGTGTGCTAATCAGTCACTTAGAATTTACATTTTAAAAACGGTGTGTGTGTGTGTGTGTGTGTGTGTTTAATAATAGGCCCATTTTTACCTGAGTGACCTTCTTAAATTGGGCCAAACTAACCGATGCTATGATTTGAACAGAAATTTACCAGCATATGAAGAAGTTTCTAAAAAATAAATCCAAAGTATTCAAAGCTGTATCTCCTTCTTGGGAAGAATAGTACTGACCATTATGCTGGGCTTTTTAAACTGAAAATCCAGCACAGAAAGGAGAAATCACACAGCGACATCTGTTGCAGAACTGAAAATTTGCTGCTTTGAGTTGGAAGCAATTAGTTCCGTACAAGCACCTAATGGTATCAATTACTGCGTGTGTGTGTGTGTGTGTGTGTGTGTGTGTGTTTGCGCGTGTGTGTTTGTGCGTGTGTACTCATACAAATATGTATATATACACTCATATGTACATACATGCACACGGAGAAACTCATCCAATACAGTATTCAAATTCACATTTTTAAAGTATTTAACATAAAATGTTCACTTTAGCACCATAGCTTTTTTTTTCTTCTTAATGTCACCTGTTGGGGAGTTTGAGATTTTTATAATCCTGCATTTTTGAAAGGGAGGACATTATTAAAAATCACCTGGTGAGATCCCATGGCTTCGCCATGAGGCAGCCACAGCCCGGGGAGGGCAGGGCCTTGCTCACCACTGCGCTGAGGCCTGTTACCCCTGCATCTGGGCAGGGGCAGGCTCCCTGGATGTCCAGCCCATGGACCTCCTCTTCCACCTCCCCGCAGGGAGGCCCGGAGAGGGTGTGGATCACGGGGAGACAGTATCTTGGCCAGGAGTGGGTTGTATTCTGAAGGCAGCAAGATTTATTGCTGTTTTAAGTAATAAACCCGTGGCTCAGAGGAGTGACCTCTGGGAGGAAAGGCCCAGTTCTTGGTGAGGTTGTCTCTGGTGTTGACAAATGATTCCGAAACCTCTGGACTTGATTTGGCAGCCGCAGCGTGAACGCCATCCAGAGAGCCTCCACGGGGGAGAGCGCAGGCTTGTGTGGCTGTGATAAGTCAAGTGCATGGAAACCAGGTTACAGAGCCCTCAGCTTTAGTGTTTCAAGCTTTTGACTTGCCTTTTCAAGGGTTCATATTTACAGTAGAA